TTAAAAGCTTAAATTGATTTTGTTTTTTATTTAATGTATATGTGTATACGGCAGGCTTTGGGGGAAGTGGTAAGGATGAGGAGACAGGGAAGAAGAATAAAGAGGAGGAGGAAGAAAAGGTAGACAAGACAGAAAAAAATTATAATAAAATAAAGCATGCTCGCCCTGAAGGTAACTAAATGGAACCGGGAAAGCTAGTCAGGAAGCTTCTAAACCGGGCTTAGCCTGGTTTCTGTTCGGGCTGTGGGGTCCAGAACATGTGGTACTCGATCACCTACCAGCACCACTTTGGGAGTGATGAGTAGCTGGCTAAACATAATTATGGTGCACAATTCTCTACCTGATTTTTACCACCACCACCACCACCCTTAGAAAAATTCTGTAAGCATGTAACCGAAGATTATTCTGGAGATTTAACTAGCTGTGTACACTGATGCCACCTCGCAGGTGGGATGAAATAAAGGCACATGCAGGATGGTTTAAAGGGTTGTCAGGGCTGAGTTGTGTGGCTGAGTCTGTGTAGATTATTGGGAAAGAGGTAGTCCTTGAAATTAGACTGGGATTTAAAGACTAGTTTTATCACTAGCTGTCTGGCATTGGCAGAATTTCTAAAAATTCTCTAATTCTTAGTTGTTTTTCTATTTTATATATAGGAGTTAATATCTGCAAATCCAAAATTCTCCACTTACCTCTCCACCCTCCCCTTTTCCTCCTGGTAACCATAACTTTGTTTTCTATGTCTGTGAGTCTGTTTCTGTTTTGTGCCATTTTTCACAAATAAGCTTATTTGTGTCTTTTTTTTTTAAGATTCCACATATAAGTGATACCATGTCGTATTTTTCTTTCTCTTTCTCGCTTACTTCACTTAGTTTGATAATCTCCGTGTCCATCCATGTTGCTGCAAATCGTATTATTTTTCTTTTTATGGCTGAGTAGTATTCCATGATACATATATATCACAACTTCCTTATCCAATTACCTGTCAATAGACATTTAGGTTGCTTCCATGTCTTGGCTATTGTAAATGGTGCTGCTATGAACATTGGGGTGCATGTGTCTTTTCAAATTAGTGTTTCCTCTGGATATACACCCAAGACTCGAATTGCTGGATCATAGGGTAAGTCTATTCTCAGTGTTTTAAGGAATCTCTATACTGTCCTCCATAGTGGCTGCACTAGTTTACATTCCCACCAGCAGTGTAGGAGGATTCCCTTTTCTCCACAGCCTCTTCAGCATTTATCATTTGTGGACTTTTTAATGATGGCCATTCTGACTGGTATGATTTCTTATTATTATTAAAACACATTGTCCCCCCAAAATTCAATGTCCTTCTCCCCCAATGCAACCTCACTTACATTACTTTAAGCTTTAGGTTAGAAATTTTCTTCTAAGACCTAGGTCTTCAGCCAGGTAATATGTGATTGAGATCTAAGTGGGGAGCTGGTTCTTCTAGTTGAAACTGGGTTAGTTCTGAACCAGCAGTAATATATCTGTTGTGGGTATCTGTCCAACTTAGCAAAGAGTCTGTTACGATAGACACATGGATTAGAACGTGTCTAAATTATGCGTGTATGTGTGTGTGTGCTCTAAGTTTATTTAGTCTGCATTCATCTTTACATATGGATGCAGCTTACACAGTATTTGTGTTCATACATAAAACAAATAGCAGAGTTACTAATTCTCAAGGATTAATTTATGCCAGCTTAGCACTTAGAGACTAAAGCATCCAAAGGCTTAAAAATTCCTTATCAAGCACAAAACATATAAATACCAAGACACAGATACCAAGGCAAAGGCCCAATGTTGGGTCAGGAATATGGAGAGGGATCTGAACCCAAGAAAGTCTGGTAACCCCTAGAAGTTGTCTGCAAAAATTGTGTGTATACATCCATATATATGGACGTGTATAAATATATATATATATATATATGGATTATATGTTCATTTATCTGAACATTTCCATAATTTTAAGCAAGATACAAGTATGACTTGTACTTTCATGACTACCAGTATTCTGGAGGAAATGTAAGAGGAACCTGGAAATGCACTATCACCACGAATGGGTATGTTGTACAGAGCTCCTGGTCTTCTGCTGCTCATTTCCTGGGTGGGAGGTTTTTTGTTTTGTTTTGTTTTGTTTTCCAGTCTAAACAAGCAAACCAAAAACAGTGGCCATAGATTGAGGAAGCAGGATTTGCAAGATTAAGTAGCTTGCCAGGTCCTCACATTTTGTGGTTAGGGACCACTTGTAGATGTTTCAAGTGGTGGAGTTGGAGGGTGAGAAGTTGCATTTTCCTTTCTTGAAGGAGCAAAGTGACTAGAGCGTTGAGTGGTCCAGCTCTCTCATTTCTGCAGCTCAAAGATAAATTCACAAGTACTTTCTTTGCGCCTGTGCCCTGGAGTTGAGTGACTTTCTGGGAAACGCTGGGAAGACTAGGGATGTTGCAAGCACGACTCAAGCGCCCCAGACCAGAGGTCTGGCTGGTTTCCAGCCAAGACAGAACTGAGCTGCAGCAAGTTCTGCGGGATCTCGGTTGCAGCTGCGCGGGGTGGAGGGGCTTCTCTCCACAGCGTTAGGTCTACTTAGTGCTGCGCTGCAAACCTGAAGGACTGCGCCTCGCGTTTCGCTGCAATAGCACCAATTCCTTGCAGCAGAAGCAACGTCTCTCTTGAGGGGCGATTCTTCTCTGGTCCCTCCGCATCTCGCAGCTCACCAGAGTGTCAGGCTTGGTGTGTGATCACCGGCTCCGCCGCTGCTCAGCGTTACCCTCCACGACCTCAGCTTCTGTTGAAAGTCGATCCGGGTGGAGCTGACAAGTGGGGGACGTTAACTGTCTGTTTTAGTGCCTGGTGGCGGAGCAGAAGCTCAATTCCACTCAACTAACCTCTGCTACGCCCTGGTACCTGATCTGCATTCTCTTCATGCCCCTCTTGCTGAGTGTGTCTGCAAAATATCCCCGCAAACTTGAAGGGAATTTAACTAGCATGGCTGGGGACTGCGGAGCGGCCATGGGCACTTCCTCCGCAGGGGCGACCGAGGCAGAGGTGACTTTAAAGATTCCTTGGTCTCTGGAGTGTTTCACAAACATGTGCCCAGGTGCAAATATCTATATTTTATATGCTTGAAAGTGCAAAGAAAAAAAAGAGAGAGTGAAATGAGGGAGGCAAGTTAAGGAAACGAGGTTCTTCACTCAACTCTGCCCAATACAATTTCATCTGTATGATAGCTGGGTTTGTTCACGCTGTGGTTAACCAAAAGGGGAAAAAAATCAAACTCCGCCCAGGGGTGGCAGATCCCACCCAGGATCCGGGACTCCGAGAAGCAGCGAAAGCGTGGCTGGAGAAAGCCACAGGTCCCCCACATCGCTAAAGCCAAATCCAACCAGAGGAGGAGCAATTACATTGAAAAAGGAAAGGCTGCTTGCAGCTGCTCTTTGCTTCCTCCTCTTTGTCTTCCTCCTCGCATCCTTTCAACAGATCTCTCAAACCTTGTCCGGCTCCCGTAAGGTAGCAGGAAAATAGTTTCTTGGCACCGCCCCCTTGCCCCGCCGCCCCTCCCTCAACCACTCACACTTGCTCCATCCTGACCAACGCCCCCACCTAGTGGTTTAGACTCGTCTGTTTGCTTTCCTTTGCTGCGATTACTAAGAGAGCGTTGCAGTTTGCAAAATAATTACAACTCGTTGGGGTCTGTTGTGGGTGGGTGGCGTGGAAAGGTGGGCAGGACCATTAAAATGCTGTGCAAACGAGGCTTAAGGTTACCCGAGCAGCGCTGGGCGCTGGAGATGGGAGGAGAGGAAAGAGAAGATTGCGCCTTATACCCAGCTTGCCTGCTGCAGTCCAGACCTCAGCCAGAGGACATCTGTGGAGAGTTAACACCTGGTTAAGAAGTACCTTCACTCCAAACATATGAATATGTTTTATTTTCTTCATAGTACTTAACGCTGTATGAAATTATGTTAATTCTTCACTTGTTCACGTGGCTATTTCCTGTCTGCTACTTCTGCTTGAAAACTGTGTGTGGATCTACCTCACTGGCCTTTATACACCAGGTGCCTAGAAGAATGCCCGGCATAGAGCAGGCACTCGATTTTTACCCATCTGGCTGGCTTAGAGACGGCGGGAATTAAGGGAACTTGGAGTAGGGTTCTGTCACCTAGGGTAAAAACTCTTCTTTCAAGGGATCTCAGTGACTCTTCTAAACTGAATGGATGGCCCAGATAATCTCCGGCTGCAAAATGAATAGTTCTCTTTAGAACATGCTTACACTTATCAGGATAAGTTCAATTGTAAGGTCGTTTTTACTGAATGCATTCTAGCTGCCAAACACTGAGCTAGGCGCTTGTAGCTGGCAGTTACCATAGCTTCTCTCTCATGGCTGAAAATACAGTGTCCCTTCCCCGTGCTTCTCTTTAAATGTTCTCCTATTTGTACTTCTATTCTGCATATGTTTCTGTTAAGGTTGGAGGAGGAACTGGGTACAGAGCACCTGCTCCGGGGCCGTGGGACCTAGGTTCTGTTGTTGCTTGGCGCCACATATGGTTGATACCACTAACCGAATGGATTGGTTGAAGACCAAAGAGACGCGTGGATGGCGCTGATGGTTGGGATCCCAGACCCCGGGTTCCCCTCCACCCCGCTATTAAATTCTGATGACCTGCTTTCCAGGTGGGCTGTGGGAGGGAGCCGTGCTCACTGCGAACTGTTTTCCAGAGGCACTGAACTGCGGTGCGGCTGGAGAGGGAGGATGGAGCGGACGGTTTGATTTCACAAACAGTGTGCTTCTGTTTGTGATACTTTTACATATTTGCAGACAGTTTTCTTTTCTTTTTTTCTTTTCTGTTGACTCACAGTCAAAGGGGAGGGATTAAATAGAAAGCTCAGATTCCTAAAAACAGATATGAAAAATTAGTTTGTATGGTACCAAGAATTAAGTATGACTTGAAGCCCGAAGTATAAAATGCGATATTGGCCATTTCCTTCTAAGGCGATATTACTGGCGCCTCCTTTTAACTTGGGTGTGGCCTGCAGGGCTGGATAAAACTCCACAGCGTGGAGGTCAGAGACTCCGGCTGGTTCCACCGAACTCTGGCCTGGCCTGCTGGGGGCAGGAGGGGGCCTGGGTAGGAGCCCATACGGACCTAATAATGACTCTAGTGGGGCTGTGCCTGGGCCCGCAGCTGAGGGAGGGGCGTGCAGCAAGCTCGGAAGAAGACTGAGGCAAGGACAGGACGCCCTCATCCTCATTCCGGCCAGAACTGCGGCGCCAGGGTGTTAAGACTGGGAGACGGGCCAGGGGATAGGAAGTGGGAAAGGGGCGATAGGACCCGGCGGGAGCTTCCTTGGCGGGGAAGGGAATCGGGCGGGAGGATAGGAGGGAGGGAGAGAGAGAGAGGAAAAGCGAAGGTGATGGGGAGCGGGCGTCCGCACTCGCCGTGCGGCACGAGTTGCACGGCTCAGGCAGACCGGACCTGGGCTCTATAAAAGGAGCCCATGCGCCCTGCCACTCACACGCTCCTCCCGGACTGGCGTCCGCCGCGTCCCTCCAGCTCCCCCAGACACCTGCCCCTACCCTGCGAGCCGCGCCAGGTCCCCCAGACCCGTGCGCCCGGCGGCTTGGCTGCGAGCGGTGCCCGTGGGACCGAGGTGGCGGCGGCGCGGTGCGAGCAGCCGCAGCCCCAGTCTCCGAGCCCCTCCTCTTGCGGCCCCAGCTCCGCGGGGCAGCACGCCGGAGTGGCCAGCGCCTGAAAAGAAGGGAGGGCAGAGCTCCGGCGGGAGGCGCGGCGCGGCGCGGCGCGGCTCCCAGATTTCACCCCACCCAGCTCTGGCGGCCTCTGCCGCCGCAGGAAACTAACCCCAGCCTGGGGAGGAGGGCGGGAATGCAAGACCGGGACTTCTCGCTGGCCTGCAAGCTTTGGTCTCGACAGCTAGGAAACTCCTGCGGGCCGAGTCTGCAGATCCAGGAGCGCCCGGGTTAGGAGACGCTTAGCCCCGAGCACTTGGGGTAAGAGATCCCACCTGGTGGACGCTCCCTCCTCAGACAAAACAACGCCCTTCTTCACTAGACGTCCAGGTGGGAGCTGGAGCTAAGCGGAGCTCTGTGGACCAGTTTTTAGTAAACCCAGGGCTGAGACGGGGCATAGAGAGGAGCAGCCAGAGATGCGGCGGTAGCGCCGGGCGCATTGGAAGTGCTGGGGACGCGCCCGCCAGCCTTGGCTGCCGCGCCCTTGACCTCTAGTTTCGGCTGGGAACCTGGGTGGAGATGTAATTGAGGAACTCACGGAACTGACTAGCCACCGTGGGCGGGGGAGGCAAGACTGTGATCCCCTCCACGGTCTTTCCGTCCTCTTCCTCCTCCGCTCCATGCCTGAGAGCTGCACTCCGGAGCCGGGGCGAGGAGAGACATGGTGGAAACAGGCGCTCCGTGCGCCCCGCCGCTGTCGGCGAGCTCCCAGGCTGGGCTTCCTCAAGCCAACCTCTCCGCTGCTCCCTCCCACAACTGCAGCGCCGAGGGCTACATTTACCAGGACTCCATCGCCCTGCCCTGGAAAGTAGTACTGGTCATGCTGCTTGCACTCATCACCTTGGCCACCACGCTCTCCAACGCGTTTGTGATCGCTACCGTGTACCGGACGCGGAAGCTACACACCCCTGCCAACTACCTGATCGCCTCCCTGGCGGTCACCGATCTGCTCGTATCCATCCTGGTGATGCCCATCAGCACCATGTACACAGTCATGGGCCGCTGGACTCTGGGCCAGGTGGTCTGCGACTTCTGGCAGTCGTCGGACATCACCTGTTGCACAGCTTCCATCTTGCACCTCTGCGTCATCGCACTGGACCGCTACTGGGCCATCACGGACGCCGTGGAGTACTCAGCTAAAAGGACTCCCAAGAGGGCGGCGGTCATGATCGCTCTGGTGTGGGTCTTCTCCATCTCCATCTCGCTGCCGCCCTTCTTCTGGCGTCAGGCCAAAGCCGAGGAGGAGGTGTCGGACTGCGTGGTGAACACCGACCACATCCTCTACACTGTCTACTCCACGGTGGGCGCTTTCTACTTCCCCACCCTGCTCCTCATCGCCCTCTATGGCCGCATCTATGTGGAAGCCCGCTCTCGAATTTTGAAACAGACCCCCAACAGCACCGGCAAGCGTCTGACCCGAGCCCAGCTGATAACCGACTCCCCCGGGTCCACGTCTTCGGTCACCTCCACTAACTCGCGGGCTCCAGACGTACCCAGCGAATCCGGGTCTCCTGTGTACGTGAACCAAGTCAAAGTGCGAGTCTCCGACGCCCTTTTGGAGAAGAAAAAACTCATGGCCGCTAGAGAGCGCAAAGCCACCAAGACCCTGGGGATCATTTTGGGAGCGTTTATTGTGTGTTGGCTGCCCTTCTTCATCATCTCCCTGGTGATGCCTATCTGCAAGGACGCCTGCTGGTTCCACCTGGCCATCTTTGACTTCTTCACGTGGCTGGGCTATCTCAACTCCCTCATCAACCCCATCATCTATACCATGTACAACGAGGACTTCAAACAAGCGTTCCATAAACTGATACGCTTTAAGTGCACAAGCTGACTGGTCAATTGCAGTGCGGTCGCCTAAGCGGCCTTTGGGGAATCATGTTGTATCTAGTTACACAGGTAGGTCGACTCTTCTTTCACTGTTACTAGGTCGGAGTGAAGCTTTCTCTTCTGAGCAAGGGCATTGGATCCTGAGAAGCCAGGACAGCCCTGAGAGAGAACCCCTAAAAAACTGTTCAAACGAAGGATAGAGCTTCCAGGCTCTGGAGGAGGCTCACTTCCTCCCCTCGAACCCCAGGTTCAGCACTGACCCCGAGGCAGCCAATCGCAAGGAGAAGTTGCGACTTTTAAAAAATTGATGATGGAACAGGGATGCCTGCCCTGCCTTGGTATCAGGGATGATGCCCTCTAGAATCAGAGGTACTTACTTGTAGTTGCTGTTTGAAGCCTGTCTGAGACAGATCCACATGCAGCCTGGCAGTGCTTGAACTAGACATTAATGCCCTGTGTTATGGGGAGAACTTTGTGTTACAGCTTCATCTAATAATAGTTCCTTTGGCATCCTTCAGTCTTCATTCAGTTTTTGTTTATCTGAACTTGGGTGGAGAAACTTGTGGATTTGGTGCTTCAAACCCTATGGGTGGCTTGAATGGCACAGAGAAACCTTGACGAGTTAACAGCAAAGTTCTGATGTTAAGATCTCTATTTTTATTATAATTGAAATTCTATAGGGTGGGTGGGTGGAAAGGGAGGTGGGGAGCATTCAGCTGAACACCACACCTCTGATTGTTTTCTGCAGATTTATCGTTTTTAAATTCTTATTCAGTGACTGTCAAACCACATTCCTAATAACTCAAACAAAACATTATGTGTGCTAGTGCCAAAGTCTGCAGATTGCTTTATTTTTCCTCCAAATTTCATGTACCTGTCATTTTACACATTTAAATCCCCATACATGGAGGATATGATGGGTGACTCAGCCCAAGCTGCTGCTATATTTCTTATTAATGCCACTGATTACACTGATGAGTATTAGATATATAAGCTCTTTTGCAAGAAAAGTATCTTTAATCCTAATCCGCTTCAGTGAGATATAAAGGAGACATGAGCTAGGAATGGTTCTTGTACAATTAAGGAATGGGTGGCAATAGGAGGATGTATATTTTGACTTGTAAAAAATCTTAAATGCATGAGACTTTTTTCTAATAGTCATTTGCACTCTCCTTACCATCTGTAATTCCTTTGTGTGCTAACATATCAGGTAACCAAGACAACTAGCTCCTTTCTCCAAAAATCTTCAAAATGTAGTTAAAACCCCTAAAAACTACATTAAAGATAAAAACTTGTTTCTTTTCCCTTGCTATTGAAGTTTGAGTAGGAACAAAAATACTAGAAAATAACCTGCAAGGATTTTAGAAAAGCTTAGAGAAGCTAAAATTGAGCCTGCTCCTTGAAACGCGTGGACTCAAACCTCAGACTTACTAGGCAACCAGGAAACTAACCAGCTTTTGAACCTTGGAAATTTGGCACTGACCTGACACCTCAATGAATATAATATCAATAATCTTTTAAATTTGTCTTTTTTCAAATTTCAATAATACTTAGTTGTTATTTCAAATTCACTCTGACTCCCCAATACAGGACAAGATTACACACTAAAAGATGAAAAATGCATTCTCTAAATAAAATGGGGGTAGTCCTGAAGGCTCATGTGCACAGAAAATGAATGTGTTTGTGGAACATTTTTTATGCCAAAGAAGATTCACACTCCCTCTTTAGAGAGCTTTCTGCAGTTGGTACCTTTTGTCTGCAGAAGCAAGTTGTTTTTGTAAAATGGATTCACTCTCTGCTTGAAGCTCCCCAGTCCAGACTGTCAGACAGTAGATGCATTGAGCTGAAGTGCACTGCTTCCCTGCTGTGCGGACCTTTTCTCTGGCATGATGACGCTTGGAAATACACTATTCAAAGTTTCACACGTAAACTAAGTAAAAACGAGACTGGTGATCAACACTGACACCTGTCACTGGAGTAAGATAACATTTTAAGCATTAGACAATCCTGTTCTTTCTGCTGTATCCCCACGTCTCTTTGTTTTTTTGTGACATTTCTCCTATGGAGAATCCTAGCTTACTATGGAGAGAACTGTGCATAAAGCACGGTATTTGTTTTTATGTTATTAATATGTTTGTCATTTGTTTACATAGCTGTGTTTTCTTGAGCCTGAAAAGCAGTTAAGCAAACTTCTAGGAGCCTGAGGGGGAAAAATTAATTAAAACCAATAGCCACTTACAGATGATTTCTTTATAGGGCACGTGCAATGAATAGTGTCCTTATAGCAACAAAAAGAGGTCAATTTAGTCAAATGGGTCGTTTGCCACTTATAGATCACCTACCTGAATTTTTGCTTGACTATTTGGCTGAATTGACTGAATCTGGGGCATACTGTGTGAAGTAGAAGCTTGCAAACCCTTGTAGTTATAAGAGATCTAGAATCCTCATCCAGCATTGCACATGATTATGCAAAGTGTTTTCTTCATCCCAGGGCTATGTAGCTGAGACTGTTAAGCTCCTTTGCAGTTACTGCTGCCTATAACTTTGTCTGTTTCATGAACTAGACATCTGGCTTTTTTGCAGAACATTATATGGGAGATGGAAATATTTAACTTATATAGAAATGAAAATATATTTTCATTGGCTGTGGTAACAAATAACATTTTCCACATTGCTTAATTGCACAAATTTTCACAGAAATATATGAATGTATGCTCATCCCAAAATACTGATTGTCTTGTGTTTCTAGGAATTTTAGAGTTTCCTTTAAAAAAAAAAAGGACACTGCATCTATGAATAAATTGTTATTGAGTTCAACAAATTTCCTACAGAACAATGTTCTTCACTTTTCCTCTCTGTTATCTTGGTTTTCTCTTCTTTAACCAGGAAACCCTGAGTGGACTGTAATTCACTCAAGCAGCAAGATCTCAGATTATGTGTATATGATGGCATTGCTGTGACTGAAAATTGCATTTGGTTTCCACCTTTCAAAACAATGTGTAACTGAAAATGAAATTTAGGAAAATAATGACATAAAAGTCCTTTTTCTGTGTTCTAAAAAGCACTGAGTAGTAATTCTACTATTATGGAAAGATTGACTCATTGGATTCTGGGTTGCGTTTAGGAGTTTGAGCCTTCAAGAGAGAACAACTGATAAATGATACTGCCATGTACTGCCACAGTTTGGGGGTTTTAGTTTATATATGTAGGAAGAATTTAGAATGAACTAGTATGGAGAGTATAACTCAGGGGTAAAGCACATGCTTAGGTCCTGTGTTCAATCCTCAGTACCTCCCTGGAAAAATAAAATAAAATTTTAAAAAAGAATTAGACACACTCTGCAAAGAGAGGGTAAGTCAGTTCCACTATTACAAGAGTTTTCCAGATCAGCATTCTTAGAGGGAGTGTTTGGTCCCTGGGCAGGGTCGTGAGATTCCAAGGCACTAGATGGTGCTTGACATATAGAAAAAGAAAAAGGAGGAGGTGACTTAGAAGCATGCTTGGGGGAGACCTAAGAGGAAGAGACTGACCTATCTGATCACTGGAGAGGTAGACAGAAAAATGGCTTTTGGAATCAGGAAGTCCTAGGTTTGAACTGCAAACAGAACATGTTATCACTGTGTGGTCCTTCTCACATGCAGCCTACTTGCAATTTGTTGCAAAGGCTTGAAACCCATACATGTAAAGCACTTATCAGGATACCTGACACTTTTTGTCTCTTGCAGATGGTACCTCCTCTCCAGCTATTATTTCATCATTGCCTTCTGTGTGGAGGCAGGGCACCTGTAGCAGAGAGACACAGGGCTATCTGAGAGAGGCTGGACCAGGGAAGACCAAACTAGCCAGAATGGGAGAAACATGGCTAAACTGGAAGCGACTGAGGCTTGGAGCCTCTCACCTTTCCCCCCTAGGCTGGGGACACATAGCTGAGAGGCCAAAAGAGAACAGGAGAGATGGTTTGCAGTGGCTCTAGTGGCCAAGAGGAAATTGCCAAATATTTCATTTCCTGTAGCATCCTCTCATTTTTCTCTCCCTTGTCTAGAGATGTCCAGCTGTCTTCCCAGAGTCCAAATTTCTTCACCACATCAATATCTTTCCTCAGTGTCTCATTTTCTACTTCTTTGTTTTTTTCTTACCTGTGCACAGCCATAATAACCAACGATAATGTGTTAACTCTAAAATGGTTCTTTAGCTGTGGAGGGCTGATTACGTAACCCAGGGTTGTTATATTATGTCAAAGGAGGTGGCTGATCTAAATGAAAGGGAGTAAGCTTCCAAGGTGAGGCCCTTAGTCGAGTTTTCAGACAGGAAGAGGCTGGTAGGAGAAAGTTGTGTAAAGTGAAGCTTCTGCACCTTTTCTCAAAGCCAGTCCTGGAACTGTCCACCAGGGGGCAGAGCGCCCCTGAGTTGTGCAAAGGGCGCGATGCTCACCACGTGCAATCTCTGACTCCTGTACACTGCAAACGGCGTTAACTTCTCCAGGCTCAGTGAAAACGAAGATTCGTGCACCAAGGGAGAAGGAGTTTATCATTTATTTAAAATAGTAGCTTTTTCGGGGAAGGTAGCTCAGTGGTAGAATGCAGTGCTTAGCATGCACAAAGTCCTAGGTTCAATCCCTAGTACCTCCATTAGAAGTAATAATAATTAATTAATTAATTAACCTAATTACCCCCCCCAAAATTAAAAAAAATAAACTAGCAGCTTTTTCAGAACTGCAAATTCAGGCAGCGGATTCCTAAAATTAAAGTTTCTCTTCATATTTGCAAACTTAGTTATTTTCTTATACATCTCTTGTCCTGGAATAAAATCTTAGTATTTTAAAACATTGTGACCTTCGATTAATGCAGCACTGGGTACAGTCAGAGATGAGAATACAAGAACTTTATATTCAAAACAAAGGGAGCTAGTTATTAAACCTACTTTTCACCATTATGATTTTTCCCATCACTGTGTTTTTCTTTTCAAAATTTCATTGCCTTGAAGTTAATATATCCATGGTTCAGAGGTAGAACGCTGCCATTTACCATTTAAAGTGAGTTTTTTTTTTTTCACAGAAGTAAGCTGTACTGATATGTCAGTTTTTCCCAGAAGGCAGGCTTTCAAATCTGTGTAATTTAGCATTTACTTTAAAAAAAAATCATATACAAATGTGAGTACAATCTTATGTATCATAAAAATAAATTTCTGTGTCAGAAAATGGATCACATATAATGAGAGAACAAATGAGGTTATATCTTTGTCCTCTCCTGAACTGTTACTACATAGCCTTTCGCTGTTCCCAGTGGGGAGTATTCTCTGTGCCATTTCACACGGCTGTCAGTTCAGTCCGACTTTCAAAGTCAGCATCCACATCCTACTGTTATCCTAGGATTTGCAGTGCTCTCTGAGAGAGAGCCAGTCCCTGGAGGTGGGTCAGCCGACCAAGAGATTGTCTTAACACCATTCTGAGCACAGCTTGTAAAAGAAAATGCCCATTTCTTCTGACTTATTTGCACATATTTCAAAAGGCAGGAGGAAATCATTTCACAACTGCAACCTGGAAATCTATATAACAAGAATGGTCTTATAATATTTCCGGTTCTACAGTGAACAGATGGTGATATAAGGAGCCATTTATGGCAAATGCTTAAAAGAATCTACACGTGGCTTGTTTCAGGGATGCACGAAGGCATGACTCACATCCTTCCAGACTCTGTGGGAACATTCCACACACTGGCCTCCGGCTGGTCATCCCATGTTGAGATAACAAATTGAGATCTCAGGATGTCTCTTGCTCACAAGTGTGGTTACGAAACGGTAGTGACAGAATAGTCGACAGAGGGTAAGTTACTTGGTCCAGAGGCTGTGCCCAGGGCACTTTCGTAAACACACTGGGGCTGTCTCTTCTAAACCCATGTGCTAATCCAGTTCGGGATTGTGTGTGTAGACCTACAGCTCCCCCCGTGAATGGTTCATTGATTAACATCAGTGGGTTCAATACTGGGCTAATCTGTTTATGTGGAAAGCAGTTTGTATGGTTATTCATCTTTCTCCCCCAATCTTGCCCAGCCTTAAGGTCCTAGGGTCTACTCTCACCTCCCCTGACCCCCAGAGACTTTCCCACAGAGTGTAGCATGTTAGGGTAATCACACATGGGAAATTTGGAGTCAGCTGTCTTGAGACCCCCAACACATTGGTCAATTTAAAGTGCAAAAACATGTCTTTGAAGTCAGAAAGATGAGTTTAAAGCCATGTTTTGCAGCCACGAGCAAGTTCCTCTGTAAATGTACTCATACACACCTTTATGTTTCCAGATAAAAGCAAAATGAGATAATGCTATTGTTTGTACCCTTGGCTGTACATTTAATTTATCAGGGGCACTTTATTTTTTTATTTTCTATTTTTAATTTTTTTTAGAAAAGTGCACCACATGCAGAGTGGAAGCCCAGGGGGGTTATTTCATGGTTCCTTTTTATTTTTAATTTTATTTTATTGAGTTATAGTCAGTTTACAAGGAGCACTTTAAAAAGACCTTTACTCAGGCCCTGTCTCAGACTAATTCTGTTATCTGGAGTAGGGCCTGATAATCTTATTTAAAAAATTCTGTTTGGGTAATTCTAATGTGTGGCCAGGGTGAGAGCCACTGAGAATATGTATAAAAAGGTCTTAGAACAATGCTTGACATGGGTATGAAGGGGGGCCCCTGAATGATACGGAAAGTCAAGTGGATTTGGTTTTTACAGTTGTGTGTCTTAAAATTTAATGGGCATGTGAATCATATGGGGGACATGGTTAAAATGCAGATTCGGACTCAGTCTCTGGTGGGGCCTGAGATGTAGCACTTCTGACAGGCTCTCAGGGAACACCAATGATGCTCGTCCATGGACCACACTTTGAGTATAACAGCTTGATTATAATGTATCTGTCATTTCCTAAGGATCTTAAAAAAACAACAAAAAAAACTTAAAAAACAGCAATGTAAAACTTACAGATGAGAAAATGTGCTTTAGAATGTCCAGTACGTTGTGTTTTCCTGACTTGTTTACACAGTATTCATGTCTCAGTTTCACCAGTTGTTACATGTTTCCCCTTACACGCTTCCTCCCAGATGCACTCATCCTCCGGCTACCCTAAAACAAACAGCACAGCGTACTTCTGGATCTGACTCAGCAAAGCATGACCCTTCGAGTCAGCCCTGTTTTTATATCACTTTCAAATGACGGCTTTGTCTTTTGTAAAAAAAAAAATAATTAAAAAGCGAAAACAAATGATAAAACAACCAATAAGACAAAGAAATAACAATTGTGAGCATATGGCAAATGGCACAATTTCCTTGTAATCTATTTCACTTAGTAAGCCCACTTGGATTCCTTCTGTTAACACACACACACACACACACACACACACACTTGCTTATTATATAGAATTCATCTTTTGTAAGCACAAGTGACCGTTCAATCAAAGGTGAAAGCGGTGTGCTTTTTATTATATTTTATTCTTGTATTTTAGAAACTTATTATCCTAGAGCAGTGATCCATCAGCCTTTAGATTTCAGGGAAAGCCCTTCCCATTTTTTCATTCTCAAAATATTTCATGAGTTTTTTTTCAGTGACAGTAATTTAAAATATTTATGAGAGATGTTTGTCAATTTCTTGGCACCCACCGCTCAAGCTGGAGACACTGTTGAGTCTCCTAAGACAAGGCTGGGAATGAGAATGAAAGGAGCCTCCTTCGGCGATCTTGTCTTTCAGTTTTTCACTTGAGTGTTTAAAGTGACATGAATAGTGTCAGTATCCAACTAGGTTTTATTCTACATCACAAAACATAGTTCAAAGTCTTTCATCTCCTCCGTGTGCCGTCGCGGTGTTTAGAATGAGAGTCCGGCAAAAACACATCGCTGGGAGTTTAACTGCTTCACTTTAACAGGAGCAGAGATAGGGGAGGGAAGTGGCAATTTCTGAGCCCTTACTCTGGGCCGCAGGCTTTAATTAACGGCCCTCCTGCATTTGTCCTCATGACACCATAGGGAAGTAGGTATTACTGTTTTTTTTTTTCCATGTTATCATCATCACC